CGATTGAATACAATTACAATGTCTGGATAATTATTATCATTGCGATTGATAGATTATTACAATGATTACAATGGATTATGATTACATTCGAGGCTGAGTCAACCCTGAGTAAGATTCAAGACCGATTCTGACGATCGTCAGTGGTGTTCAGCGTGAGCGCCAATCGGGTTCATCGCGCAGTGCGCTAACTGCTGCACCACCGCTCCCCACAAAGACAAAGATCCCCCGGTATAGCCTGAACAGACTGTGTGGACAAGTGCTGTTAGCGAGCTCATGTAAAGGCCGGTATGGCACACGAGGGGGTGGGTGGCCAACACCACGTCCGGCCACCTTTGTCTCCCCAGTGGCGATGCTTACACACCACACCACACAAGGTACTTAGTTGAGGCTGAGATGACCTAGGGGAGGCCTATGACCGGTTCAAATAATCGTCACTCGTGTTGGCCATGATCTGGGGTCGCCGGGTTCGTATCGTAGCGCGCTAACCGCTACCTGCCCCCCCCCCCCCCCCCCCCCCACACTGATTCATAGCCATCTACTTTTGTTTAGCATTGGCTAATTGACTTTGTCAAACAATTTATTGGCGCCTGAAATTTCCCTTTCTTGACTGCGCGGAGGGAGGGAAAGGAAGGCACAACCTCCTGGCATCGTAAATAACCCCTCGTCCCTAATCCGCGCTGCTGCTGCTGTAGCTGCTGCTGTAGCTGCTGCTGTAGCTGCTGCTGTAGCTGCTGCTGTAGCTGCTGCTGTAGCTGCTGCTGTAGCTGCTGCTGTAGCTGCTGCTGTAGCTGCTGCTGTAGCTGCTGCTGTAGCTGCTGCTGTAGCTGCTGCTGTAGCTGCTGCTGTAGCTGCTGCTGTAGCTGCTGCTGTAGCTGCTGCTGTAGCTGCTGCTGTAGCTGCTGCTGTAGCTGCTGCTGTAGCTGCTGCTGTAGCTGCTGCTGTAGCTGCTGCTGTAGCTGCTGCTGTAGCTGCTGCTGTAGCTGCTGCTGTAGCTGCTGCTGTAGCTGCTGCTGTAGCTGCTGCTGTAGCTGCTGCTGTAGCTGCTGCTGTAGCTGCTGCTGTAGCTGCTGCTGTAGCTGCTGCTGTAGCTGCTGCTGTAGCTGCTGCTGTAGCTGCTGCTGTAGCTGCTGCTGTAGCTGCTGCTGTAGCTGCTGCTGTAGCTGCTGCTGTAGCTGCTGCTGTAGCTGCTGCTGTAGCTGCTGCTGTAGCTGCTGCTGTAGCTGCTGCTGTAGCTGCTGCTGTAGCTGCTGCTGTAGCTGCTGCTGTAGCTGCTGCTGTAGCTGCTGCTGTAGCTGCTGCTGTAGCTGCTGCTGTAGCTGCTGCTGTAGCTGCTGCTGTAGCTGCTGCTGTAGCTGCTGCTGTAGCTGCTGCTGTAGCTGCTGCTGTAGCTGCTGCTGTAGCTGCTGCTGTAGCTGCTGCTGTAGCTGCTGCTGTAGCTGCTGCTGTAGCTGCTGCTGTAGCTGCTGCTGTAGCTGCTGCTGTAGCTGCTGCTGTAGCTGCTGCTGTAGCTGCTGCTGTAGCTGCTGCTGTAGCTGCTGCTGTAGCTGCTGCTGTAGCTGCTGCTGTAGCTGCTGCTGTAGCTGCTGCTGTAGCTGCTGCTGTAGCTGCTGCTGTAGCTGCTGCTGTAGCTGCTGCTGTAGCTGCTGCTGTAGCTGCTGCTGTAGCTGCTGCTGTAGCTGCTGCTGTAGCTGCTGCTGTAGCTGCTGCTGTAGCTGCTGCTGTAGCCGCTGTTGCTGCGCAAGCACAAATCACAAGAACAGGCGAGATTGAACTCAACACATTCGTCAATAACACTGTGTGTGGCCTTTAAAATGGAAATATATAATAGGCGACGTTTCGGGCAATGGCCCTTCTTCGTGGGTGGGTGGGACCTGCAGCTAAGGACGCGGCCTTGAGGGATCATCGGCAGTCTCGGACGGAGCCCCGGGTACAACATCCGTGCTACGACGGTGATTGATGAATGTGAACTGCATTGCCGTCTAATTGATGCGGTCATGGGCCATCCCCTAGGTCGACTCGGCCTTTAAAAAGTACTGCGGGTGAGACAAAGGCGGCGGGGGGGCGTGGTGTTGGCCGCACATCGCCGCAGGCCTCGAAAGGTGCTAACTCGCTAACAGCACTTGCCCCAACAGTCTGTTAGGGCTACACGGAAGATCTTTGTCTTTGGTGGAGGGCAATGTGGAGGTGGGCAGAGTGGGGAAATGTTGCAGTCATAGTTCGTTACGGCGAAGGCGTGTGACAAATTGGAGAATTTGAAGCACGTTGCATAATCAATTAGCAAAAACCCCGCTTCCACCTGGACCCAATTAACTACGAGCGGTGCGCACAGGTCTGATGTGCATTTACAGCCCACCTGTCAATCCACTGGCTCTGACGGCCTGGGAAAACAGGAGAGCACCAGTGCCAAAGCCCCCAAAAACATCAAATGAGGACCATTTCCTCAAACGTCGTCTCATATATATTTTAATTGTTTCCTTGAAAGGCCACACGGCATTATTGACGACTGCGTTGAGTTTCTTTGCCACGTTATGATTGGACGATTATTCATGCGTGCATATTTTATTAAATTTCATTTTGCAATTTCTGTATTCCATTAACGTATAATTAGCACGAAAAAGTTGGCCTTTCAATTACCGTATATATTTTTTTAATAAAAGACTGTCCCATTTTTTGTTATTTATTCATTTGCTCTTTCGTAAGGCAGGGTGATTAGCGTGGGCCAGTGGAGAACAGTGAGCCCACGTGTCAGTCAGTCCACGAGTCAGTCAGCCCACGAGTCAGTCAGTCCACGAGTCAGTCAGTCCACGTGACAGTCAGTCCACGAGTCAGTCAGCCCACGAGTCAGTCAGTCCACGAGTCAGCCAGTCCACGTGTCAGTCAGTCCACGAGTCAGTCAGCCCACGTGTCAGTCAGTCAGTCCACGAGTCAGTCAGTCCACGAGTCAGTCAGTCCACGAGTCAGTCAGCCCACGAGTCAGTCAGTCCACGAGTCAGTCAGTCCACGTGACAGTCAGTCAGTCCACGAGTCAGTCAGTCCACGAGTCAGTCAGTCCACGTGACAGTCAGTCAGTCCACGTGTCAGTCAGTCCACGAGTCAGTCAGTCCACGAATCAGTCAGTCAGTCTACGTGTCAGTCAATCCACGAGTCAGTCAGTCCACGAGTCAGTCAGTCCACGTGTCAGTCAGTCCACGTGACAGTCAGTCAACGTGACAGTCAGTCCACGTGACAGTCAGTCAGTCTAGTGCGTGTGTGTGCTCAGGGTGGGGGCTAGGGGGGAGTCGTGGCGCCTGCGCAGTTGCTCCGTGGCACCACACAAGCAGGCGATTACTCTAAAACGCGTGTCGATTCTAAAATCTGAAAGAACAAAAAAAAACGGAGAACCCTGGATAAAAATCCACTCGATAACGGGAAGAGAGATAAAGAGAGAGAGACATGCAAACTCCAAATATACAGGCATCGTGGGGGGTCAGGATCGAATCCACGACCTCCTGTGTACTAGGGGAGGGCGTTAACATCTCACAACGGAGAGAGAGACACGCAAACTCCAAATATACAGCAGCAGCAGCAGGCGTCAGGGTCAGGATCTAACCCACGACCTCATGTGTACTAGGGGAGGGAGTTAACATCTCACAACGGAGAGAGAGAGAGAGACACGCAAACTCCAAATATACAGCAGCAGCAGCAGGCGTCAGGGTCAAGATCGAACCCACGACCTCCTGTGTACTAGGGGATGGAGTTAACATCTCATAGCCACCGTGACGCCCCTTGTTGGCAATCAACTGCTGGATGAAGCCTCCCCCCCCCATACCCCCACGCTGTGCTGGTCGTGCGGGCTTATTAGACCATACTTCACCACGCTGGTCAGTCAGTGCGATATGTTGCAGGCGAAGACGCATAGACGGTGGCAACATGGGAGTACCGTACAACAATGTTTTTCCTGTTGGGGCAAGTGCCGTTAGCGCGCAGCATCCACGATGTGCCGCGTGTAGGGGGTGGCCAGCAGCCACGGCCGGGTCGCGCCGCGTCTCCCTGAGTGGCGACGTTTAGACGCCGCACTCGTTTGCAGGAGTCGATCTCGGATGGGCAGGTTTGCGCAGCGCTGACCGCCACACTGAGCCGCTCCCCCTCGCTCGCTCGCTCGACAATTAGCCACGACGCCGGTATCGCCCGCTAAGTGAAAAATCCGCGTACAGCCTCTGACCCGTAGCTGGTCGCTCCGGTGGGGGAGGGGTGCAAGTGGCGTCTCAAAGCCTTTCCGACCAATCCCCCAAATCTCGCCAGCCACCCTCCCCCACTTAGGGGGACACCGGTGGTAAATTGCTCCGTTAACAACATAATCACAGAGCCACTGCAGGTGAGCGGACGTGCACGCGACATACAAATCGCGCGGCCTCGCACAGTTAACAAAAAAAGGGCAAAGGCGCAGCCCTGCAATTGCTTGCTCTTGCCACTGCTGGCGGAAGGGCTTCCGCTGCTAAGAGGGGGAGGGTGGGAGGGAGGGAGCAGGAAGACGAGGGTGGTTGGCCTACTTTTCCAGGCTGCCCAGATGAAGGGGCGCCGCGGTGGCTAGGAGATGTTGACTCTCTCGCCTGGTATACAGGAGGGCGTGGGTGCGATCCCGACCCTGACGCCTGCTGCTGCTGCTGTATATTTGCAGCGTGCATCTCTCTTTCTCTCCGTGGTCGCGCGGACTTCCCTCCGGGTCCCCCAGTGTTTCCCTCCACATTTAGACTCAACATCACGCGGTTTAGACGTCAGCGTATTTGGCTGCTGCAAATGCCCACGTGATGATGAGCCACTTCGTTGAGCTATCATTTGCGATAGGTCGCTTCTGAAAAAAAAGGGCTCTGTCGATCAGTGGGGCCTTGCTTGGTAACGTCAAAAAAAATCGTGAAAACAAATGGTATTGGAAGTGCCCACACTTCACGTCAAAGCGCGCGACCCGCAGCCGATTTGGCTGCCCGTGCGTCCCGCCGCTCGTGTGGATATTATGTGCTCACCGCTGTTCCGACTGCCGCGCCTGGAGATTGAAGCCGGTGACCTGTAGATGCGCCTGTCCATTGTGCGAGAGTAATTACACCACCGCACACAACAATGAATGCAATATCACTGACGCATTGAGGAGCTGCTGTTTCGGCCGCGTATGGGTTTATTGCATCTATTTTGCATCATCATCATCATTATTATTATTATTTTGATGCAATTTTAACAAGACAATATCCGCATCGGGGCAGCATGCGCATCGGGTTATTATGCTCGGAATTTAATTAATTTTGCCGCAATGGGGGAAAAGCAATTTGCCTCGAGTGTGGCGAATGTGTTTACGTTTGTGGATCGAGAGAATGGATGTACTTATTTATTTTTCATTTTAAATGGGCAGCTCACCAGACACAAAGACATCACACGAAACCGAAGCAAACTGAACTGGAATGGTTAATGACCAGACAGCCACTTCAGCCGACTGAGAGTAGGCGTCTCCACATTCTGCCCGGGGTGGCTTACTGCTAAATGTGTCTTCTTTGGTTCTTTCGGTAAAGCCATGTCGAATGAGAATAAAATAATAAAAGAAAATAAAGTAAGACAATAAAATTCTCACGACGTTTCGGCCACAACACAAGCAGCCGTCATCAGGTGAAAGAACTGACTTTACCGAAAGAACCAAAGAAGATGAATCCTTGCAGTCACGAAAGCTTTAAATCGAAATGCTAAATGTGTGTTTAGTTTGCTCTCCATCGACACGCGCCTCCGATTAGCACGTACGGTGCCAAAGAAGTTCGGCGTTGTACAGTCGCAACAATGTGAAATAGGTACGGAGGTAATGCGTTTATTGACTCTGTTGTGGTGATGGCAAGGAATTCCAAAATTGGGCAGTGCGAGGGAAGACGCAGAACGAGAGGTGTTATGACCAGCCGTGTGGTGAGTGAGTGAGTGGGTGAGTCGGTGAGTGAGTGTTGTTGTGACCTGCCGTGTGGTGGGTGGGTGAGTGAGTGGGTGAGTGGGTGGGTGAGTCGGTGAGTGAGTGTTGTTGTGACCTGCCGTGTGGTGAGTGAGTGGGTGAGTGGGTGGGTGAGTCGGTGAGTGAGTGTTGTTGTGACCTGCAGTGTGGTGGGTGGGTGAGTGAGTGGGTGAGTGGGTGGGTGAGTCGGTGAGTGAGTGTTGTTGTGACCTGCCGTGTAGTGAGTGAGTGGGTGAGTGGGTGGGTGAGTCGGTGAGTGAGTGTTGTTGTGACCTGCCGTGTGGTGAGTGAGTGGGTGAGTGGGTGGGTGAGTTGGTGAGTGAGTGTTGTTGTGACCTGCAGTGTGGTGAGTGGGTGGGTGAGTGAGTGGGTGAGTGATTGTTGTTGTGACCTGCAGTTTGGTGGGTGGGTGAGTGAGTGGGTGGGTGAGTGGGTGAGTGAGTGGGTGGGTGAGTTGGTGAGTGAGTGTTGTTGTGACCTGCCGTGTGGTGAGTGAGTGGGTGAATGAGTGGGTGAGTGAGTGGGTGAGTGAGTGTTGGTGTGACCTGCAGTGTGGTGAGTGAGTGGGTGAATGAGTGGGTGAGTGAGTGGGTGAGTGAGTGTTGGTGTGACCTGCAGTGTGGTGAGTGGGTGAGTGAGTGGGTGGGTGAGTCGGTGAGTGGGTGTTGTTGTGACCTGCCGTGTGGTGAGTGGGTGAGTGAGTGGGTGGGTGAGTCGGTGAGTGAGTGTTGTTGTGACCTGCAGTGTGGTGAGTGTTGGTGTGACCTGCAGTGTGGTGAGTGAGTGGGTTGGTGAATGAGTGGGTGAGTGAGTGTTTTTGTGACCTGCAGTGTGGTGAGTGGGTGAGTGAGTGGGTGAGTGAGTGTTTTTGTGACCTGCAGTGTGGTGAGTGGGTGAGTGAGTGGGTGAGTGAGTGGGTGAGTGAGTGTTTTTGTGACCTGCAGTGTGGTGAGTGAGTGAGTAAGTGGGTGAGTGAGTGGGTGAGTGAGTGTTTTTGTGACCTGCAGTGTGGTGAGTGGGTGAGTGAGTGGGTGAGTCGGTGAGTCGGTGAGTCGGTGAGTGGGTCAGTGAGTGTTTTTGTGACCTGTAGTGTGGTGAGTGGGTGAATGAGTGGGTGAGTCGGTGAGTGGGTGAGTGAGTGTTGTTGTGACCTGCAGTGTGTTGAATGAGTGGGTGAGTGAGTGGGTGAGTGAGTGTTGTTGTGACCTGCAGTGTGGTGAGTGAGTGGGTGAGTGAGTGGGTGAGTGAGTGTTGTTGTGACCTGCAGTGTGTTGAATGAGTGGGTGAGTGAGTGGGTGAGTGAGTGTTGTTGTGACCTGCAGTGTGTTGAATGAGTGGGTGAGTGAGTGGGTGAGTGAGTGGGTGAGTGAGTGTTGTTGTGACCTGCAGTGTGTTGAATGAGTGGGTGAGTGAGTGGGTGAGTGAGTGGGTGAGTGAGTGTTGTTGTGACCTGCAGTGTGTTGAATGAGTGGGTGAGTGAGTGGGTGAGTGAGTGGGTGAGTGAGTGTTGTTGTGACCTGCAGTGTGTTGAATGAGTGGGTGAGTGAGTGGGTGAGTGAGTGTTTTTGTGATATGTAGTGTGGTGGTGGTTGAACACAATTCAATCTGGTCCAAGTCCTGAACGTGGCAAGAGAATCACTGAAGGTCGCCAATACAATGACCGCGATATTCGCGATAGAAGAGCTATAAGGATGCGACTGAGCCCAGCCTCTCGGTGGCGAGATGTTAACTACCTCGCCTGATATACCGGAGGTCTCCCCGTGGTTACGTGGATTTTTCCCCAGGTGCTCTGGTTTTCCCCCTACACGTTTAAGAATCAACATCACGGGTTTAGAGTAAGCCACTTCGCTGAGCTACCGTTTGTGGCCAGGTCGCTTCTGAAATAGAGCTATATAGCTCAGTGGGCTTTAACTGGTGAAATAAAAAAATACCTTTTAAAATAGTTTTAAGTCGCCTTTGATGCGGTATTTAATCTAATGACCCTCACAGGAAAGCAGAACTGAAACACCTCCGTAAAAAAATATATATATATACACATACTGTAAGAGGCGACGCTTTGGTCAATGTGCTTGGCACGAATGACCCATAATGCCTTGCTGATCTCCTCAAAACTCGGGTAATCGTTACAGCGGCTTTTGGCTGCTGGCCATCGAACAGAGATGGTCGATGCATCGCGTGGCGCTTTCAGATGCGCTTCTGCGGCCGTCTGGAACGCTCTTCCTTCCGATATTAGGAAGTCACTGAGAGCTGTGCAACTTTTAATTTCTTTAGAACTGCTTTTTGTGCTCAGTTCGTTGTCCTTCCCCACGCACCTCCGATTAGCGCGGTTGGCTACGTACGGTGCGAAAGAAGTTCAACGTGCGCGCATTGAGAGAGAGAGCGAGAGAGCTGGTGAAGCTGGAGAAAGCTTCGACTTCTCTCGAGCTCTGCGGTTTATCCCACGAAGCCAGCCCGGGCGATTTTCTGGGGGGAAGTGCAGACGAGGCTATGACTGTAGCCGTAAGTCAGCGCGCACAATGACACTATCTCTCTGTGACACATCCTGCGTGCTGGATTAGAGAGAGAGAGAGAGGGGGGGACGCGGTAGATCACTTTGCCCCGCCGTGTAAATGGAGCCCGGAGGGGTCTCTGATAGAATTAATGCGGTAAATCAGACGCCGCACAGACATGTCTCGGTGTTCTCACGCCGCTCAGCGAAGTTTACATATGGGGGGGGGGGAGTGTAAATGGGGGGAGGGAGGGGGGTGAACACAAGCGCTCTTGAGAGGTAAAGGCGCAGCCTTCTAAGTGTTACGCTCACGCCGTCGTTCCGAGGATGAATGTCGTCGAGTGAATGGCTGTGGCGCGCACGTGCGTTTAGAATCCATAATGTTTGGTTGGATACACAAATCGTATGAAGATTGCACGCATCACGTGCCGTGTGTACGCATGCATGTTGAACTTCTTTCGCACCGTACGTAGCCATCCGTGCAAAATATAGGCTAACGGGGCCGAACTCAATTGTTTTGAGATGTAAAACAGCAGCAACAAAACAATAGAAACGCGATGATAGACGGATATAACGTGATAATGATTATCTGAATTTCGATTTAAAGCTTTCGTGACTGCAATGCTTCTGTGGATATGTAAACTTAGATTTTAACACAGCTATTTCTGTCACAAGCTAATCCCTCGACTATTTCAATGCTAAATTCTCCTGCTCTGATATGTAAACTCCTTTGTCAAGGCTCTTCACGCCTCTCACCGAGCTTAAAGAGACGCTGCGAATCTTAGCAGCGTTAATTGAAGCTCTGTCGTCCCGACAGTTCTGTTCTTTCACCTGAAGAAGGCTGCTTGTGTTGTGGCCGAAACGTCGTGAGAATTTTATTGTGTTATTTTATTTTATCATTTTATTATTTTATTCTCATTATACGTGACTTTACCGAAAGAACCAAAGAAAATGATTATCTGCATATATATAAAGGCAAAGTTGTGATTGTGTGTCTGTACAAAATGTTTAGCGTACTTCCCGACATGCAACAAGCTTGAAATTTGCCATGTGGGTACTTTCCAGACTGTACACAATGCAAACATTATATGTTTTTTGGGGGGGGAGGGGGGGGAGCTCAATAATGCATTTATTTTTGCACGGCAAGTGAGCTGTGACGTCAAATCTGTCACGTGACCTGCGCATGTTGGAAGCGTAACGCATTGTAGTGTAGTGGTTAGCGCTACGCTGCGCTACGAACCCGGCGACCCGAGTTCGATTCCCGCTCACGGCCACCACCGGTGACGATTATTTGAACCGGTCCTGGGCCTCCCCTAGGTCGACTCAGCCTCAAACGAGTAACTGCTGTGGTGTGTGAACATTGCCACTGGGGAGACAAAGGCGGCCGGGCGTGGTGCATCCAAGTCCCGGGCGAAGCCGGGTAGTAAAGCTCGTTATTTAATAATTAATGTTTGTGTCCGTCTCGGTGGCTACCCCTCGACCCATTCCAAGACGCTTGGCCGGTGTGGAAGAGTAGGCCTATGTATCCTCTAGAGGGGCTGACTCGAGTGGAGGCCCCTTCCTGCTAGCAGTGGCGAGAGCAAGAAATTGCTGGCCTCCTCCTTTGCTGAATAATTGCCTCTTAATACTCTTTGGTTCTTTCGCTAAAGTCACTTAGAAATTAAATTAAATAGTAATAGAATACGACGTGTCGATTGCAACACAAGCAACCATCATCAGGTACAAATGAATGAGAAAACAAACATTAAACTTGGAAATATATTGCAATACAACACAGAGAGTCGGCCAACACAACAGTCAACACCCCACCTGGTTGATTACGTTCTTCCAAAGATTGCTAAATTTGGGAGAGAGAGAGAGAGACAAAACATAGACACGGAGACACACAGACAGACACACAAGGCCTCGAATCTAGTTTGTCTCTTAATAGTTCCTAGATTTCGCACGCAATTTGAATCAAAAGTCGTTTAATGTGACTGCCCCGAAGCGTTTTTTTAACCACTTAATTTTCTCCTCTTGGCACCTCCATTGTGCCAACTCTGTCCTCATTTTAAACTGTTATTAAAATCACGAACGTTAAAGTGTGAATGTAATTTTACAACATAGTGGCTCTTCTTCTTCTTGTTATTATTACGTTTTCCC